TGCACCCAGGCCTTGTGGCTGCTTTTATTTGACATAATCCTCTAATTAATAATATGCAAGGCTCAGCCTTTCCAAAGGAGGGCAGGGACATTAATGAAGCCTCTGGGAGCAGGCTAATTAACCATGAGGATCCCCGTTTTACTGATAGGGAAGCTGAGAGTCACAGAGCTGGAGGGGTTTGCCCCACGTCACAGAGGCAGACACGGGCAGGCAGGGTTTTACCTCCGGGGCTCCTGCTTCCACGCGCCCCCTGCTCTGCCCATCACGGTGCATGGCTGCCTTCTCCTCGGGTTAAAGAAAACCTTGAGTTTTTATAAAAGCCTTTGCGGCCCTCCCTGTAGCTGGATGCTTCTGATGAGGTACTTTTGCCCTTGTATGTGCTCTAGAGGAGACACAGGGCAGGTCGATAGGGGCATGGGTTTAGGGGTAGCACCTCTTCGGGGGAGCATGCGATTGCCATGCCCTTTAAGAGCCTGTGCACAGCTCCCACACTGGGTCCACTGGGCCCTTTGGATTCCCCTCCATAGACTAGGCTTGCGCCATAAAGCAGTGTGGCTGGACGGACCCTCCAGAGGTCTTCAGAGCGCACCCCCGGTGCAACGCGTGTGCCCCTTCGTGCTCCATGCACCTTCCAGATGCCGCTTGTGTTGCTTTGGGTGAATCGTGATACCAGGCTGGGCACCCCGTGTGCCTCTCTGTCCCGACAGGCTGCGCATAGACCCTTCGCAAAGGGCCACGTTCTGCTCTCGGTTACATCAGCGCACATCTGGACGAGCTCCATGGACAGCCGTGGGGATCGCTCTCGCTCATCAATCACGTGGCGGAGTCAGGATGCTCCTCTCACAGGCAGGACCCAAAGCAACGCTTGGCTCAGCGCCCGCCTGCACTCAGAGGCGGCACAGCAACTGGACTGCAGCAGGTGCAGACCCCCCGTCTGAAGACAAACCCCTTGCAACAAGGGCCGAGAGTCGAACAGCCTGTCCGCGCCCTGCCACTGTAAGGTGGGCTGTTTCCAGAGGCTTTTGGTCCCCGCAGGCTGTTTTCTGGGTCCCTTGACACAGGGAGAAGGAAGAAGCCAAAGGCCTGAGACCCCACGTGGCCCTTCCCAGGTCCTCTGGGAGCCCTTGGGACAGCTGGGCAGGCTACATGCCCCACACGGGCTGCTGAGGAGGTCGGCTGGGCTCCGCATGGGGATCCAATAGGAAGAGAAACCAGTCCGGCCCATCCATAAATGGCTCGTTAAGTCCCACACAATTACCCCCACCCAGGTAATTGCAGAACTGTGCTCTACAGCTATTTGCACAGTTCCCCCTGCTGCTTTCTCCTCCCCAGTGTTGTGCCATGTCACACAGGCAGGGTGACACGCATTTCCCTGGGGAGATAATGCCCTGACCCCCAACTCTTCCAAAAAAGGACTCATTTTACAGGGAGGAACCGTCCAATGGCCAAACCCTCCAGGTTTCACCTTATATGATGAATGTCCTGTGCACGGGCATGCACACACACACACACACACACTCAGGTAGGCCTTATTCAAATCAAGTCTCATTGATTTCCTTGTGACTCAGCTGGCAGGGCTGGGCCGTCATCAAACAGCACCCCCCCCATGCCCTGCTAACCCCCTTCCCTACTGCATGGCATCCTCACCCAAACGCACACTCAGCTCGGCGCCCCGCTTCAGCAGCACACTGCTCAGCCCTGTGTCACTTAGAAATTCATTTGCACCATTTTCCAGGGGCTGTTATTTTTGCTGAGAGCCAGTACCGAAGAGACAGCCTTGCTGCCAGGCTGAAGCCGGCGCTGCAAACCTGGCAGCAGCCTGCCAGTCGAGGCCTGCACTTCCCCACCGCTTAATTGACTCCATTTAATCACTTTGCGTTCGCGCCACGTCCTAGAGAGGCGAGGTGCTTCGTGGCCCCCTCGGCTCCCGGCCCCCCGCGGGGTGACCTTGCCTTTGTTTGGAAACGGGTCTGCGGTATGATCCCCAAAGGCAGAGTTGCAGAAACGCAACGTCGCCAGGCCTTGCTGGGCATTGAAGAGGAAGCAGGAATTGGCAGGACCCTCCCCGCCCCCGGGCACCCAAATCCCTGCTCCTCCGACCGCCCCCCTTGGCGCAGACACCTGGGGGCTGCATGGCATCGAGTGCCAGCCGCTCAGCACAGCCCGCGCCCGCCGGGGCAGGCGGAAGGGGCACGGGCACGCGCTCCTGGGTGCCAGGGTGGGCTCATGCTCCCCCTGCACTGGGTGCTGGCTTTAAGTCTATGTTAGTTTGGGGGTTTTTTGCACGTGCAGCTGCCCCTCAAGGCCTTTTCTGCATGCGCAGCTGCCCCCCCCCGGGCCCGAGGCGCCCCTGCCCCTACCCCTGCCCGGGGGTGCGCGGCCGGCGGGGGGCAG